CTTTTAATAAAATGCACCACCGTACCTACGCACCATCGTGGTAGAAAAAAGAAAATTATAAAGAGCACGAAATTTTGTCAAGGTAGAGTACGTAAGAGGAGACTAATTTAGAAATGTACAAAATTATTCTTGTGTGTGAAGAGATTGTTTTCATTGCTCAAAATTCTAATAGATCATGATTAATCAACCGAGCAATGCTATTGGGACCTAATTCACTCTGACCTTTGAATTGACTATGACTTTCATCAAATATTGGAACTTGGTGTGAATTCAATGGTTCTAATGAAATCACGTTATTAGGTCAACAAATTATGTCAAATTTTTAGGTCTAAATAGCATTTTCCTTAATCAACCTTATTTAAACGCTTCCATTTNAGTTTTCTCAAAATGTATAACTTGGACAAAAAAATTTCTACATGTATACACTATAATGTATGGATAATGTATAAAAATTATGTTAAACTACAAATTAATTAAGTATTAAATAATTGAACATGTGATATAATTGAGTTATGTGATTTTGTTTAAGGGAATAAAAATTCAAATTATAGATTTTCTTTCATTATTTCACTGCCCTCAAATCTACTTACTACAAAACTCCAAAAGGATGATGCAACAGTAATTAAGGGTAAATATTACAACTAACCCTCAAACTTTGCCTTGTGTTTTAAAATAATCCTTTAATTGGTAATCGACTAAATTTAGTTACTTAACTATCAATTTTGTATCAATTAAATTGTTCCGTCAATTTTAGTCGTTACAACAATCGAAGGCAAGTTACGTGTCATGTGGTCATACACATCATGTGTCATTGTTTGAAGCGACAAAAAGATTTAACTTATACAAAATCAATAATTGAGATTCTAAGATGAGAATAGACCGTAAAATTGAAGTATTAATTATCTCATTAATTGATTAAAGGCGGTGAATACGAAGTAAATATTGGGGGTCACTCTCACTCTAAGTCCATGTGCATGACATCTTATTGACAAACCCTTTTTATAAGAGAACTAGTTATAACATGTGTCTGAAGGTACTATGAAACATAAAATTCGAGCATCCAAAAATTCAATCTCGTTATATTAAATAATGATCTTTCTTTCCTTCATTAATTTGATTACATCATTTAAAATTTACTTTAACCCATTATTTTTTAAAAAATATCGACAAAAATAGTGTATACTATTGTGTATGAATAATATCTGAAATAAAAACATATATATNTTGAGTTCATTTTATTTAATTATTAAGTTACTTCTAGACTGTTAAACAACATGATAATGTTAATGTGATCTAATTGTACGCTTCATAGTTACTCAAATTACAGGCCATTTAAGGGTTTCAACCAACTAAAGTTGATCACCACCCACAAAAACCCTGTATAAAACCATAGCATTTGTATCCTTCGCAAATGAAAAGTGCCACACACACACGGTACTGTCTATAGAAGTGGCCACATTGTCACCATGTCTAGTCCTTCAGCTATTTCTACCTTGTTTCTTGTTGCTCTAGTGTTCATGGGCACAGTAGCACCACCACCACAAGCCGAGGCGGCCCGTGCTTTCTTTGTGTTCGGTGACTCACTCGTCGACAATGGCAACAACAACTACTTGGCCACCAGCGCACGAGCGGACTCTCCGCCTTATGGCATCGACTACCCCACCCGCCGCCCCACCGGCCGCTTCTCAAATGGCTTTAACATCCCCGACCTTATCAGTAAGCTTTCCATTTTGCCTTCTTCGTAGAGTGTCTTGTACTTTTTAGTTACAAGAAATTACTTTACAGAATATGTGTGTGTGTGTGTGGTTATTACTAGGCCAACAGCTTGGTGCTGAGTCCACATTGCCATACTTGAGCCCTCAGCTTACTGGACAAAAACTACTTGTTGGTGCAAACTTTGCTTCCGCCGGGATCGGAATCCTCAACGACACCGGTTTTCAGTTTGTAAGTCCCTGGCCAACCAATTAACGTGTACATTGCAGTCCACTCTTCTAGTGTACATTCAACTCTCTCTCTCTCTCTCTCTCTCGTGCAGTCTACTTTTCTTGTGTACTTTCAACCCTCTCTCTCTCTCTCAAAATGAAATATAATAATTGTTAAAATTTATTATCAATATATCTCATTTATCAAACTTATTTTCTGATTTACTGTTATTTTCAACTTATTTATTAAATTATCGTTGTTTTAAAAACGGATTTGATAAATCCGACTTTATGAGGAAAGCGAATTGACAAATCCGCCTTCATTTGAAANTTTTTTTTTTTTTTTTTTATGTTCACTGTCATAAGAAAATTTATTTTGAAGATTTTTTTTTTTGTGGCAGTAGTAGTATTATAAAAAGTTTATTTTTTGTCGTAAATATTATTTGAGACGGGTTATTACCATCACAAAGATTTTTTGAGATTTCACTTATTACATCAAGGTGTTGTGACAACATATCTCGTCATAATAAGTGGAGTCTCAAAAAAATTTTACGGCGACAACAATTATTTCAAATAGTATTTGCGATAGCAAATAAATCTTTTGTGACAGTAGTACCGCAACCAAATTTTTTTTTTTCTCAAAACACGTTTTTTTGTGACGGTGAACATTACCGTCATAAAAAATTTGTCTTAAAAAACCCTAATTTTTGTATCATGGAGACAAAAAGAGGGGAAAAATTCATTGGGACCTACTAAATCATGGAAGAAGTCAATAGATATATGGTTTTGCAAATGTACATATAACTACATATGGTGCTGGTTGAGTGTCCGACTCATTAGCTGTAACCTTGAACCATATGCAATAAATAGTTCGGCAACTTTTAATAAAATGCACCACCGTACCTACGCACCATCGTGGTAGAAAAAAGAAAATTATAAAGAGCACGAAATTTTGTCAAGGTAGAGTACGTAAGAGGAGAGTAATTTAGAAATGTACAAAATTATTCTTGTGTGTGAAGAGATTGTTTTCATTGCTCAAAATTCTAATAGATCATGATTAATCAACCGAGCAATGCTATTGGGACCTAATTCACTCTGACCTTTGAATTGACTATGACTTTCATCAAATATTGGAACTTGGTGTGAATTCAATGGTTCTAATGAAATCACGTTATTAGGTCAACAAATTATGTCAGATTTTTAGGTCTAAATAGCATTTTCCTTAATCAACCTTATTTAAACGCTTCCATTTCTACAAACATGAGAAAACAAGTGCACATGTGAATTTCAATTGCAATTTTTATTAACCAGCTACATTTATTATCACAAAGTTCCTATGGTGCGGGGTTGGTGGTGTTTATGGCTTCTACTAAAGATTTATGATAAGGATTTTCTTTATGGCTTGAACGTTTTGATTTTTGTCGATTTAAAGCATTAAAAGTCAGCAAAAGTGGTTGAATCGAAAGTTATATTAAAGATTAAGATGAGAGTATTTTTTTTTTTCACAAAAATGAAGATCTTGAAATATTGAGTAATGCTATTAAAATTTAACCTAATTTATTAAAATAGTGGTGTGCCACATTTACATTGGCTAATAACATTATTTTAGCTGTAATTTTTTAAACTTCTCTTTCTCTTACCTCTCTTTTATTTTCTCTTAGTTTATTTTAATTTTAAATTATATAATTTAAAAGATAAAAAAAAAACAGTAGTTTGCCATATGCATTAGGAAAGAGGGATTGTAAAAAATAATGTTGAACCCATGTTATCTCTCTTATACCCATGTTTAAATACACATTTTAGGCTCGGTATTATTACTTAGACATAATACCAACCCGGATGAATAGTATATTTAATACCATCTACAACCTCTTAAATAAATTCATATTTTTTATGGGTTTAAATACAATTGTGATCTNAACAGTAGTTTGCCATATGCAATAGGAAAGAGGGATTGTAAAAAATAATGTTGAACCCATGTTATCTCTCTTACACCCATGTTTGAATACATATTTTAGGCTCGGTATTTTTACTTAGAAATAATATCAGCCCGGATGAATAGTATATTTAATACCACCTACAACCTCTTAAATAAATTCATATTTTTTATGGGTTTAAATACAATTGTGATCTATTTGGGCAAAAAATATTTTTATCCTAAACAATTCCAGAATATAAATCACTCTTTATCTTGAGGGTTCTTTAGTAATTTAATATTTATATTATCATTCAATATTATATTCAAACAAAATATTGCATGAGATAAATGTGGAATCTACTATTTCTTGATATTTGAACGAAATATGGGATGATGAGACATTATCAAAATAATTAATCGAAGGACCGGATGAATGAGTATAAGACGGACAAATTTGTTTAATCCGGTCTTTTTTAATACTTAAACCAAAAACACCCTTCATGTTCAATTTTTTGTATTATAGTGTTTTCAAGCATGAAGTTATTTATAGCAAATCAATAAATTATCGATTTTTTTTTTCCAATACCATTACCCTTGTTCAAATCCAAAGAAGAAAGTTGGAAACCGCCACAAATCATGAGGGTGACAAGAACAAAATGGTTTGATTGTCACATGCATGTCCGGATACCGACTCCGACCTAATAGCTGGAGGCCATGGCGGAGACTTAAAAGTCCTTCTACTAAAACTTTTTCAATTGACCTTTTCTTCACTTTCTTTCTTAAGCTTGATTTGCATGGTGAATCGATGTAATCGCCTAATAATAATCAAATAAGTGAAAAATTTAATCTCGATCACTTTTCAAATATGTAGCGGGTACTCTCGTCTCTTAACATGGAAGTGTAAGTCATTTAAAAGAATTGAGTTCATTTTATTTAATTATTAAGTTACTTCTAGACTGTTAAACAACATGATAATGTTAATGTGATCTAATTGTACGCTTCATAGTTACTCAAATTACAGGCCATTTAAGGGTTTCAACCAACTAAAGTTGATCACCACCCACAAAAACCCTGTATAAAACCATAGCATTTGTATCCTTCGCAAATGAAAAGTGCCACACACACACGGTACTGTCTATAGAAGTGGCCACATTGTCACCATGTCTAGTCCTTCAGCTATTTCTACCTTGTTTCTTGTTGCTCTAGTGTTCATGGGCACAGTAGCACCACCACCACAAGCCGAGGCGGCCCGTGCTTTCTTTGTGTTCGGTGACTCACTCGTCGACAATGGCAACAACAACTACTTGGCCACCAGCGCACGAGCGGACTCTCCGCCTTATGGCATCGACTACCCCACCCGCCGCCCCACCGGCCGCTTCTCAAATGGCTTTAACATCCCCGACCTTATCAGTAAGCTTTCCATTTTGCCTTCTTCGTAGAGTGTCTTGTACTTTTTAGTTACAAGAAATTACTTTACAGAATATGTGTGTGTGTGTGTGGTTATTACTAGGCCAACAGCTTGGTGCTGAGTCCACATTGCCATACTTGAGCCCTCAGCTTACTGGACAAAAACTACTTGTTGGTGCAAACTTTGCTTCCGCCGGGATCGGAATCCTCAACGACACCGGTTTTCAGTTTGTAAGTCCCTGGCCAACCAATTAACGTGTACATTGCAGTCCACTCTTCTAGTGTACATTCAACTCTCTCTCTCTCTCTCTCTCTCGTGCAGTCTACTTTTCTTGTGTACTTTCAACCCTCTCTCTCTCTCTCAAAATGAAGTATAATGATTGTTAAAATTTATTATCAATATATCTCATTTATCAAACTTATTTACTGATTTATTGTCATTTTTAACTTATTTACTAAATTACTGTTGTTTTAAAAACGAATTTGACAAATTCGACTTCATTTGAAAAGTGGATTTGACAAATCCGATTTCAATTGAAAAACGAATTTAATAAATCCGACTTCATAGGGAAAGCGGACATATCAAATCCGTCTTTATATGGAAAACAGACATATCAAATTCGTCTTTATATGAAAAGCAGACTTACTAAGGTGCAAGCGTTTATACGTATAATTGTGTTGATCGCCAAAAAAGTATTTGACTATTTATTAAATACGTTTGGTCTCTCTGATTTTATATTCTTTGTGAATAAATTACTTACTTTTATTAGTCGTTAAAAATTCACTAATAGATTCTATCTAAATTTATTAGTTATAACCCGTGCCTAAAGGCACGATAAAATATAAAATTCGAGCATTCAAAAAATCGATCCAACTATATTAAATTTTTTCAAAATATATTAATTATAAATTAATCAAATATTAAATAATTAAATATATGATAAAAATGAGTGATTTATTTTTTAGGGAGAAAATATATAAAGTCAAGAATTTCAGGTGGTATCTCAGTAAGAAAATTAGATGAAATATTAAAAAACGGATTTGATATGTTTGTTTTCTAAATGAAGTCAGATTTGGTATATTCACTTTCCCTATAAAGTCGGATTTACTAAATCTGCTTTCCCTATAAAGTCGGATTTGTTAAATCCGCTTTCCAAATGAAGTCGGATTTTTTAAATACACTTTCCTCATAAAGTCGGATTTGTCAAATTCGCTTTTAAAACAGCAATAGTTTGATAAATAAGTTGAAAATGGCAATAGATTAGTAAATAAGTTTGATAAATGGGGTAGATTGATAATAAATTCATGATTGTTTAGTCATCTTCAGTTATTTACCCGAAAAAGAAGTCGACTTCAATTATAAGGAAAGTGTTTTCCAAATATATATATAGTGAAAGTCTGCAGTAAAGTTATTAATTTTAATAATAAGATTAAATCTTTGAAAGGTAAATTTATAATTATTTAAAGAAAAATCATGATCGACCATGGGATTTCTTTGGACAATTATAATTTCTCCTATGTGAGTTGTAACTTGACTTTTGAAATTTGTTACTTTTTTAATCAATCATAATGTTTTAAAATTGATCGTACCTTCTGTAAGCTATAATTTACACCTAAAAAAGTTATAATTTGATCTTAAAAATTATAATTTTGGCGCAATACCAACGATGTTACCATAATCAGTTATTATAAGCAACTATTTTCTCTTGTGACAAATTGAATTGAGTATGAATAGTTTGATTATTTTATATATAAACAAACCGAATTTTACTAGCCGGAGCCGAGCCTTATTTATGCTCGTTTTCTAGATGAATCTAAAAATTATTTGAGCTTGAATCGAGTCCTGTCCAAACTGAACACAAGTAACTCGGATCAATTATTCACCTTACTTTAAATCACAGTAGTAATTTAATTCTTTTTCGTTTTGGCCTTTGCCAAAAAAGTGTGCTTTTGAATTTTAACAATAAAAAGTAAAGACGGTGTGTAAGCCAAGCCAAGCCAATGGATATCCCAACAATTCTACTTTTATTAGTCCAACAGTCGTAGTTCTTTTAGTCGTATAAACACGAGTTTAATATATCTATTTTATTATTATTATTATTGCTAGGCAAACATTATAAGAATCGCGCAGCAACTTCAGCTATTNCACAAACCCACCAATATAGTCCCAATGTTTTCATTTTTTTCACTTTATTTGTTAAGTTTGAGCTATTATTTATTTGTATCGTTTAATTTGAGCTTCTTTCATTTTATACCCTAAAAGATTTTAGGATTTTTACTTTATACCTTCAAAAATTAATTTTTTTATATTACACTCTCAATATATTAAAGGTGTTGTAATATAACTTTTTTATTAACTTCCGTTTTTTTTTTCGTCAAATGGCAACCCATTGACATTGATGAAAAAAACTCACGAAAAACTAATAGAAGGATCATTTTGCAACACTTTTAATACATTGATGGTATAATATAAAAATTTTAATTTTTAATGATAGAAAATAAAAATTTTATAATCTTTAGNCACGAAAAACTAATAGAAGGATCATTTTGCAACACTTTTAATACATTGATGGTATAATATAAAAAATTTAATTTTTAATGATAGAAAATAAAAATTTTTAAATCTTTAANCTAATAGAAGGATCATTTTGCAACACTTTTAATACATTGATGGTATAATATAAAAATTTTAATTTTTAATGATAGAAAATAAAAATTTTATAATCTTTAGAGAAGCAAAATGCAACTCGTCCTTTAAATTTTGTCGAACCAATGAACCGGTATGTGGGCTTCCATGACAGGTAACCTTCGTGGACATTTATTGCAATTAGCCCATTATGTCTTGCAAGGCCATGATCTTATCCATGGGCCTATTCACAGGACGCAACACTACGGGCCAAGATGACCCATGGTCCATTGGAGCCGCTCCATGGGTGGTCCATTAAACCATCCCTCCATCCCCACATAAATGTTAGGCAACAAAAAATAATTGTATTTTATGTGTGTATATCTTTTTTGGGTGAAACAGGTTTTGTGACATCAAAGAAAGCGTGCTGCGGCCAAGGACCCTACAATGGGGCAGGACTTTGCACCACTTTATCGAATCTCTGCCCAAACAGAAATATTTATGTTTTTTGGGACGCTTTTCATCCGACAGAACGGGCAAATAAGATTATTGTCAAAACTATATTTACTGGGTCTCACAAGTACATGAATCCGATGAATCTAAGCACCATCATGGCATTGGACTCGATGACCTAGAATTAGGCATTTGAAAGTAATGTTTCAATTCAAATATAGGTATGCATAAGTGTATCTTGGTCAATTAGACTTTGAAGGTAATAGTGTGCTCAATAAGCTAAGGTAATTTGTTTATGGAAAGTAGTGTTATGCGTTTGGCTGCTTTTTCTTTTTTTTTTTGAAGCTCGTAAGTTGTGTATTTGTTCACCATGGGGTAAGTGCATGTTTTGTCATTTCTATAATAAAGAAATATCATTTTTAGAATGTTATATTCATTCAATTGTCTTTTTTTTTCAGTAAAGGGAGAAAAAAAAAAAAAAGAGTTATAAGATTCCATGCTCTCTTGCCTCTATTGTTTGTAGGGATTTTGGTTAATGGTAGGACTAGTAACTTTAGACATGATCAGCGAAGTTAATATTGAATCCATCACTATCTCTCTTGATTGAAATTTTAAACATTGTAAGGACAATGAATGATCACCAAGACATTCTTTCATAAAAATTTACTTCTTTCAAAGGAAGGCAGCTTCGAATGCTGGCTATGGCATTTACATTCAAATGGCATCTTTTAAGAGTTCACATCCTACCTTTATAATAATCATAGATAATTTTTATTGATCAACAATTTATATTCACACTAATTTTTTATTTTTTATTTTCTTTGAGCAAGAATTCATACTAAATTGATTGATCAAGAAATGGACGAATTGATTTTTACTTGTCACGGATCATTTTGTCATAAGGTTGATCAATATGAATTTCAACCTTTCTATAATACTTTGTATCGATCCATGAAAATTATACCATATTATACTTTCGGGATAATTCATACCTATTTGGTTTACCAATTGAAGTATATAATAATGTTCATTTTTTATTTTATTTTTTTAGTATAGAACCATCAAGATTGTTCCATCCTTCATTTAGTTTTCAATTATATGGAATTTCATCGTCGTTCTTAATATTTTAATGTTGCCCATGGATTTGTAAGAGTTCTTTTAAAATGATACCTTGAAGGATTATTTTGAAGAATAATTATTTAATTATTACATCATAACTAAAATTTACATTAAAAAAAAAAAAAGCACACCCAATCTAGATAAAATATACACGGACTAGCTATAACCTATTCCTGAAGGCACGAGAAAATATAAAATTCTTGTGTTCAAAATTTTGATCACGCTATACCAAATAACAATTTTTTATTTTTTTCATTTATTTGATTACATCATTTAAAATTAATTTGTACCTATTATTTTTTAAAAAATAGCCTCAAAATTTTATCAANGCCGCTGTGTGCCGCTGTGTTGAACGCCGTTGGTGTCGCTGCTGTGTTGATCGCCACTGTGTGCCGCTGCTGAGCCGGTGTCGCTGCTGCTGAGCCGTTGTGAGAAGGGTGTGGGTAGAGGGGTAAGGGGTCTGGGTTGCTGTCTGGGGTGAGGCATGGCAGAGGAAATGGGTATGTAGGGAAATGGGTGAGGCATGGCGGGAGACAGAGAGTAGCTGTGTAGGGGAATGGGTTTGATTTGAGTAACTGTAGGGGAATGGGTTTGATTTGAGTAACTGTAGGGGAATGGATAAAAATGGGCGGGATTTTTTTTTTGGGTTGAGATGCATTGCAAGCCATTGGATTGAAATGGAAGAAATGAGATGAAAATGTGGGCCTTTGAATTAAAAGTGGATTTAATCTGAGCCGTTCTTATGCTTTTCCAAATAAAATTAAATTTTAAAGTAGAAAAAAATTCAAAATGAGTTCTATCTTATTAGTAAAGATTTCAGAACTTCTTCAATTGAATCCTTTTCAGTTCAATAACGGTAACAAGGGATTGTGACGGTTGCTGTGGCATTTATTTATTATATAACAGAGTTTTGACGTCGTATTTTATAGCACGGGCGAAACAATGAAAGACCATTGAAATAGTCTTTTCATATGAATGTTCTTTTTAGGGGTTTTTTTTTTCCAGTTTATTTTGTTATCCGCCCTCTATTCCTTGTATTTAAGCATCAATTTGATTGATGGAACTTAGAAAGCTAACTCAAGAACACTTTCTTTGAGTTGGATACACTCGAATTGGGTTCATTGATGCAGTCGCTAATGAACTTTTTCATTGTCTTTATAGCAGGCGCGAAAATATGAAAGATCACTGAAACTAAACTCAGAGATTTTTGGTGATTTGAGTTCATGGAATTTTGTGGGTTGATGAACTTTATGTGATTCTTGAGAGTGACGTTCATTGGATTCGATTACCATCAGTACGTTATTTCTAGGTTTTTTTAACTTTATTTTGTAATTTGCGCTCTAATCGTTGTATGTAAGCATAAATTTGATTGATGTACTCGGAAAGATAACTCAAGAATACTTTCTTTGAGTTGAATACGGTCAGATTGGGCTCAATTTGCTTTGATTCGTCAAGAATGGGTGAGGCTCCATCTTTATTCACTTTATGCATGGAATCAGTTGCGATGGAACTTGTTCGGGGTAATATTTTATGCTTTGGCTTTGTAGAGCAGAACTATATTAAATACGACTGGATTGTTCTTGTTTTTGAAAAGTTGGAAGGCTGGTTGTATGCAATATTGCAATGGCACTCATTTTTTTTTTTTTTATGTCTTATTGGATTTTGGTTGCTGCAGGGGATGATCTTCTACCGGATATATATGAACTTCCGTTAGACTTGTTTGATTGCCTGTTGACAAGCTTACCTCCCCTGGCCTTGCAAAAGTTACAAGAACAACTGTTAGTTCTGCCTTCACACTCTTACCGCATTTTTCATATTTTGTGTTGTGTGAAAACCATAGTACAATTTTATTTTCATTTTTTTTTGTTGCTATTTTTACAAGTTGCTAATGTGGTGAACTGTTTGGTGCGTGTCAATGCTAAAAACCTAACGTCCTTTAATTTAAAGTATGTTGGTTTGGGAAAGGATATCAGAGAACTTGTTTGGGTATTTTCTGTTTATAGTCCAAGTAGGCTTTCTGGCTTCTAACTTGTATTCTAGAACCGTATGAACTATTTTATCTTTGCTTCCTTGCTATATATGACTTGATTCTAATGAGGTGGATTGTTTTGTTATTGTTAAGCACATGATTTTGAAGTTTCATTGTATTGGAAGACAAAATATTGTGACACCATTGGCTATGCATTCATAAAGTCTTCTCTATGCACAATTTACACAGTTTTATATGCAATTTATTTGTTATATTTCTGTTTAAATTATTCACATTCACGGTGGTAGGGGTTCTTTAGTTTAAAGTATTTTTATTTTACCTGAGGAGTTAGATTTGGTTTGATGAAGGATATTGGAGAACTTGTTCGGAATCCAAATGTTTAATCTTTGGTGTAATATATGAACTATTGACAGTCTGACCTTTGAAATTTCCTGGTTTTAGTCCAAATAGGCGTTTTAACTTTTATTCTGCACTTTATTAGAGAGATTGACACCCAATTTTCTATCAAAATGTTAGAGTTAGTTATTAGAGTGGTGTGATACACAAGAAGGAACTTTCTAAAGGATGTTGAGATTTGGTCCCTATTTATTGGGGCTGTTGGGATGATGGATTGGGTACTAATCTAACTTGCGACGTTAGTTGCATCAAGTGGCTACCAACAAGGAACTTTATCTCTGAAATGTTTTTACCTTGAGAAACTATTTAGGCCATCTGACACCATGTGCTGCATGACAGATAGAGTGGCAAAATGATTCTTGGATCCCATCAACCCTTGACCCCCATCCCCATGGAAAAGGATCGTGTGCGCAAATGGAATTTGGGTGGGCTTTGTGAGAGTACCACTTTATGAGTAAATGGCTAAGTGTGTTTGCTGATTATTTTGTTCTGTTACATGCTACGGCATACCAGCCTTACACGACAGGTTACTGCCATGATAGTTTGCTGTCTTGTGCTTGTTTTCTTGTATTTACGAATTGTTAAGTATGTGCTAATCTCAGATAGCAAAAAATAAAAAGCATTGTGCTCAACATGATCATTTTGTTGGCTTCCTCTGATTTAAACACAAGTTGCGTGCATCCTGAATGCTGCTTTTCAGTTAACTGTAGTCTCCCTAGGATACTGACTACATGGCTCTATATATTCCTCTCTTTTTAACCTTGCCAGCAATATTTACTTATTTTTAACCTGGCCAGAAATATTTACTTGTTGCTGTGATCATATGTGCTCAGAATGCATAACCAATTTTCCTTTTTTTGTTTTCTATTTATATTATTTCGTGATTGAAAGGGGTCACTATCATGTTTTTGTTCACATTGTGGGCTCAATTATTTTCTTTGGTGTCATTTTTCCTTGTTTAAACTAATTCTAGATTTTGAAATTTAGAATATTGATGCTTTTGCAGTTTAGCCAGTGATTTTGTAATTTGTAGTCAGAACCGGTCAATATGTAAGTTTTTTATTTAAAAAAAGGATCAAGATGTGCATGAGGTGGTCAATNTCAACCACTATCACCCACCTCCAGCCTCACCACCACCACCGTCATTCATCACCACCTATTACATTATCGCACAAAAGTACTCGTCGTCACCTACCACCACCATTGTCACCGTCCACCACCACAACCCACCACTGTCACCGCCACTGTTGTCGCATTGCCAACCACCATCACCATCGCCCCACCACCACCATTACCATTACCAATGGATTTAATTATCGCGATCGTCACCCAAAATCCCCTGCCACCATCACCGTTGCCACCCATAGCTGCCACCACCACCACGGTTGTCGTCACTCACCACAATCATCACCGTTTTTCCACTACCACTGCTCACCCCCACGACAACTGCTACTTAGATCCCCATCTCTCTCCTTTATTTTTGTAATTTGACTTTGGGTGTGAATACAAATATATTTATTGTTGATTATTTTTTTTATTAAGAGTGTTCACCCTACCCTATGGGTAGGAAATATAGTCTTCTGTCTTCCTACTTCCTACCCGATACTTTGCAGAAGAATTTTTTCTTGGCCTACCCTACTCGATCAGGTATGGTATTTCTATCCGACTTCTTACTCAATTAATCGGGTAAGAAATCAGGTAGAAAGTCGGATAAATATTTTGTAGCTATTAATTTTTGGATCATTTTAACAATTCAATTAAATAACATGCACCAATTGAACAACACAATAAATCAATAATACTAAAACTTAAAATAACTACAACAACAATTACAATAAAATATAATAAAACATGAATATCAATTCATCATAACAGTTACATAAATACAATAATAATTATTTTAAGTTTAAACCATATGAAATACTTTAAAATCATAACTACTCTAATAAATCACCAGTTCACCATAAATCATGTAACCTACACAAAAATAAATTCATGTTTTTGCAACTCAAACATTCACAATAATAACAATGTTATAATATATACTATACCACACAAATACTCTTATAATTACTAAAAAAAATATAAAAAAGTTAAATATATTTTTTGCAGGTAGGAATGCAAAAATTGATGGGTATTCCGTATTCCTACTCGATTTTTGCGGCTAGCCGTTCAGTAGGGTAGGGTTGAGTCTGGTAGGGTAGGAAATTGTGACCAATCGAAATTTGAACACCCCTATTTTTTAGTAATTTATGAATTCGACCTGGCCCAAGATTCTAGGAGTCCAAGAATAATTAGAGCATGTGGGGTGTAATCATCGGGATATTCACTTTTGAAGATCAATGCTACCTTTAATTGTACTTACCTTTTGTAATTATCCTCCCTGAAAGATTAATGTAAAACCCGATAAAAAAAATATTATTATTATTAGTAAAATCCTAATAAAAAGGGTAAAATAATAATTAATTGTTAAATTATGGGTCAAAAACATAAATTTAAAAAAAAAATAATATATATATATATAAGTGGAAGACTTTGTCTTCCACTTTTTGTGTTTTCTACAGCCGGCGACACAGAGAGAGTGAAAAAAAAAATGAGTTATTATTTTTTTTCTCTTTTCTTCCTTCTCAGATCTAGGAAAATTTAACCGTTTAATCGCTTCAAGCCAAGAACTAAAGTTGCTCTACTCAGCGAGAGCTACGCAACCACACCAAATATCGTATTTTTCTTCGAAGGTATATCAAAGCCGATAATCTAGACCTAAAACTTAGGAAGCTAAATTTGGGCTTCCTTGGCGTTCTAGTAAGTGGTCTCACGCTACGAGAGGTAGGATTTCTCCTATTTAGATTTAATTTCAACTTAAAATATGACATATGGAATGAGTAGATTATGAGTGTATATCACATGTTAGGTCTTGACTAGTGGGTCAAATATAGAATTTATAATTAATCTTGTGATTAATAAAATTCTATTGTGATTAACTTGGTATAAGTTAATGTTAATAGTTTAAAGCATGTTAATTGTATGTTAGCATTACTTTATATTTTAATGGAAGATCAAGTTTAATAAAATTATTAACTTGTTATATGATTGTGAAATAATATATATATGTTAAATGATTATTTAACATATGATTATTTTGGTGGACTTTGTGCTTATGTTAAACATGTTATCATGTTGCAAGTCATAGCATGCTAGTTGTGCAAATTGATGTGCTCTTTAGGTGTTTGATTAAATGCCTAGGTGAATACAAGTATGTTAGTTGAGTTGATTATCTTACATAACATGCTTGAGATCGTGTTAAAATGTCATTACATTGTATTTCATTATGCATGGGTTGCACTACATTCATGGGCATTGACATGGGTGAGAGTGTATGCATGGTATGAAATCAATCACTACGTAGGTGGTTGAACGTAGACTCGGAAAAGTCGCACCAAGGTTCGGTTGAGTCGCACGAGAAATTAAATAAATAAATGTGTTGGGGATNACTTTGAGATAGCGTGGAGGGCATTATACAAGTCACGTTGGCCTGGTCTTGTTAGGCGTGTTCAACCAGTTGATTGGTTGGCAAAAGAAGGTGAAGAAAATTATGAAGTGACATATGACTGGCAGCAGATTTACTGGGAGACTCATTTACAGGAGTACGCCGTCTGATTGAATGGACAGAGTAGTTTAATTATAAATTTTTTNAACCGAAAGTGCTTTATCTGATGATAAAATCCTATTTAGTTGGATTGGTTTGTTACTTTTTCTGCTGTGTTTGCATCTGTCTTGAATCAATTTAGAAAACAAAAGTCCTCCATCTCTTTTATATAGTTACACAAAGGGTACAATGCTTAAGCTGACGTTAGAGCCTATTTAGGTTGATTAGTTTGTTGCTTTGTTCGTTTCTTTGGTAGAAGGGATTTTCTCTGATTTTTTTGACATTTTAGGCATGTGTGTCAAGTGCTCCCTGTAAACCGTTGCTATGCATGTACATCTGTCTTTCCAGATATGCTTACCTCTGGAGTTGGTCCATTTTTATACTGTCCCCTTTCAATTATTCTGACAAAAGCCAGTGCAGAAAGTCTTGGATTAATTAAATGTTCAGAAGTTGTAAGGGCAGTTGGTTTCAGACATACGGAAGAATTAAGTGGTAAAATGTTTATTGAAAGTACATGTTATATATGATCATGTGGGGAGCCCATCATCGGATTTGTTTCTGTAGTTTTATCTTTTTTATTGAAGAAAGGTAAAACTGAAAACAATATTGTTTACTGCAACAAAGTAGCTTGTTTTTTAGCATGTGACTTTTTGTATCTGTTATTATTGTTCTGTTGCAGCTTCTATTAAGGACCAGTAAATTGGAAAGCTTGGAACTACGATGGATTAAATCGAATGAACATGTAAGATTATTAATTTCCAATGTACATTTGTGTCTTAAACTTAGGTGAAACCCCAGAAAATAATGGTGAAATGAACAAATTAGGACACTCAAAAGGAAGCCAACTGAAACAAAGGCAACAAAAAAGGAAAAGGAAGCCCCCCCAAAAAAAATGCAAGTAGAATGAGCTAGAAATTCTTAAAGTGGCCTCTAAGCTGCAGAATCCTACCCCAAGAGAAAGAGAAAAAGAGCCAGCTATGCATACTTGTTTCTAGGGGGCCCATGCAACCTCTTACATCCGAACCTTCATAAGACTTCCAGAAACTACATTGATAATATGCTTCTTGATGTCAGCTATTTTTGAAGATTCATTTGAGTACAATTTGTTAGGGAAGGTGCCCGTGCCACCATAAAAGCCTAGGTCTGGTGTTGGCTGTCAGTTCTTTATGCTGCATTAAGTAAAGATAAACAGTATCTTTCTGTTTATGGTTTGCAGAAGACATCCAGCAGGATCATTGGCATGTGACATGTAGAATGGTCTTATATGAATCATTTTTCTTCTTGACCATCTCACTTGAAACAAGGTTTTAGGAAAAAAAATTTACCTTCTTTTTAAGCTTCTCGGTTACATCAAACATGATTCTTAAAACAACTTTACTTTGAGTCCATTTAACTTTCATGTACATCATTGTCAAGGTTTTTGAGCCAAGGTGGTGAACTTGTTTATACTCGGTTTTATCATTTAATAGGAAAAAAACTGGCATTATGATAATGAACCAAATTTTATAAATCTGATTGTGCTTTTTTGTGTATTGGTATGCAAAAAAAAAAAAAATTATGAATTCTGCTTAAAGATGTGCTATCTTTTCTTTTCCCAGAAACTGAAGGGTCATATAATAATATGGGAAGGAATGGGGAGGTTTACCAAAAATGTGTTCAACAAGTTAAATTGAAAGGAATCTTAAGCTTTGAAAAATGATTGNATGGGAAGGAATGGGGAGGTTTACCAAAAATGTGTTCAACAAGTTAAATTGAAAGGAATCTTAAGCGTTGAAAAATGATTATGTTTAATAGAAGTCGTTGCAGGCAAAGGAAAACGGTTTGTCCTTGCTGTTCCAAGTGCCTTTCTGAGGAAAAATTGGAAAGACTAGAGAAACTCGAGTTAGTGAATTGCTTTTTATTGGACTAATGATTTAGTGACTTGCCACAATCTGACAGGTTGTGGGATTATGTAAGCTTCTGGACCAAAACAGTGAGACACTTACTTCAATTGAATTCATTCATTGCAAGCTATCTTCGACTTTTGTCGATGCAATTTGCGATTCACTACACATAAAGGGTCTTCAAACACATGGGGTAAAACATTTCTCAATCAAAACATCTAGCTTTATGGAAATCAACTCGCTTCCTTTACCTGTTGGACTGGCATCATTTTTATCATCAGGGAGGTATGTCTCGATATCTCATTCTCGGCTTTGTTCTTCATCAACTTCNCTCGCTTCCTTTACCTGTTGGACTGGCATCATTTTTATCATCAGGGAGGTATGTCTCCTAATTCTCGGCTTTGTTCTTCATCAACTTCTTGGTGTGTATTCTATGTGCTCCATTGCTTGAAGTGGGTAATATGATTGAAACATAAGAATAGTTTAGTGTCATGGTTTAGTGGTGGAAGCTATTTCTCTCAACATATGACATCAAGCTTGCTTGTAACTATACTGCACGATATGTGTGCATGGATTGTTCTAGTTAGTTTTTTATTTCATATTACATTGCAGCAATGTTATTACATGAACTCCAGCAGAGTTTTCAAATTTGCTGATTTCCATTTTTGATGAAGCTTAATGTGGTAGTTATGTTCAAGAAGAACTTGGACAGGTGCAATTATGTTATTTTTAGAAGTATCCAGGAGGTATATGCATTTATACAGATCACATCACCTTGGTGGCTCANATTTCATATTACATTGCAGCAATGTTATTACATGAACTCCAGCAGAGTTTTCAAATTAGCTGATTTCCATTTTTGATGAAGCTTAATGTGGTAGTTATGTACAAGAAGAACTTGGACAGGTGCAATTATGTTATTTTTAGAAGTATCCAGGTGGTATATGCATTTATACAGATCACATCACCTTGGTGGCTCGGAGAACATTGGGTGGTTTTGCAGTTTAGCAGGAGTAGGGTGGAAAATCTACGAGAAGTTCCCAGAAATTAGCTAAACTTTCTGAAATTACAGATTTGTTTTACTGCTTTGTCTTGTTTCTCTCTTAAACTCTTACTATTTNTATCCAGGTGGTATATGCATTTATACAGATCACATCACCTTGGTGGCTCGGAGAACATTGGGTGGTTTTGCAGTTTAGCAGGAGTAGGGTGGAAAATCTACGAGAAGTTCCCAGAAATTAGCTAAACTTTCTGAAATTACTGATTTGTTTTGCTGCTTTGTCTTGTCTCTCTCTTAAACTCTTACTATTGCTTTGTTCAATTTAATTGAGGTTACTCTTCCCATATTGCTTTGTGCAGTGAAGTTTTCTTGGCTAGTCTTCTCCCAGATTATGTTTTTTCTTGAGAGGAAATCCAAACCCATTGCATTTGGAAACTTGTTTTTAAATGTCGGAAATTTGCAATTAAAATGGAGAAGTTGTGATGGGACTCTGAGATACACATGAAATAAAAGAAACTGTCTTTGATATCCCTCGTATTCAGATTATTGTTAAGCAACTTCAGTATGGCCTAGGATTTTTTTGACACACAGTCACAGCTTCTTATTGATTGGAGATTTAAGACTTTGTTTTTCAAGGATTTGTTATTTCATTTGGGTCTTTATGAAAATTTGAATTGAAATTAGTGGTAGAATGGCTCATATTGCCTGTTTGTANTTGATGGGACTCTGAGATACACATGAAATAAAAGAAACTGTCTTTGATATCCCTCGTATTCAGATTATTGTTAAGCAACTTCAGTATGGCCTAGGATTTTTTTAACACAGTCACAGCTTCTTATTGATTGGAGATTTAAGACTTTGTTTTTCAAGGATTTGTTATTTCATTTGGGTCTTTATGAAAATTTGAATTGAAATTAGTGGTAGAATGGCTCATATTGCCTGTTTGTAATGATTAAGTTCTACCATCCAATGAGAACTCCAAATGTATGATTTATACCCGCGTTTTTTTTGTTTGTATATCATGCTAGGCATCATGTTTCATCTCATGGAATCAGACCAATAGTATCAAGATCATTTCTANTTGTTTTTCAAGGATTTGTTATTTCATTTGGGTCTTTATGAAAATTTGAATTGAAATTAGTGGTAGAATGGCTCATATTGCCTGTTTGTAATGATTAAGTTCTACCATCCAATGAGAACTCCAAATGTATGATTTATACCCGCGTTTTTTTTATTTGTATATCATGTTAGGCATCATGTTTCATCTCATGGAATCAGACCAATAGTATCAAGATCATTTCTATGTTCTTATTCATATATCTTTTGGGTCAGGTCTTTGACTTTGTTAAGCTTATCTGACAACAACCTCCAACAGAATTTTGCAAAAATGGTTTTGAATACCCTCCTTGATGCTTCATCTAGTATAGTCATTCTGGACCTTTCAGAGAACAATGTGAGTATAGCATACAGTGTCAAAATATGATTTACAGCTGTTCTCTTCACATTAAACCTATATAACACTCTACTGACAATGTTGCAGATTGCTGGCTGGCTTTCTGATTTCAAATGGAGATCCACAAGTTGCTCCAAGTTGTATTCTGGAATAGGCAAGTCATTGCAATCATTACGTGTGCTCAATCTAAGGTATTTCACGATTTATGTTCAATGTCAATGCTGCCTGTGCAAACGATCAAATGATGAGATTGCAGCTAAGAAATCTATGGATTCAGATATGCATGATAAAGCGCTTGCCTTTGAAAATGTCTAGAGTGTTCCAATGAAATAATGAAAATGCACATACAAGTTTTGGGGGTCATCTCCTATGCTATGTAATTGTATGACTAGGATTTCAAGAATACACTCCCCCAAATAACAAAAAGCCAACATAATGATTCTCAGGGATTTTGTCTTCCATTATAAGCCGTGTTATCATTCACCTGAAGGTTACTTCTCTAATTTCAGGAACACCAATCTACAAAAAGATGATGCAGATTGTCTTATATATGCTCTGGTTCACATGCCTAACTTGGGCACTCTTGATTTAAGTGACAATCCTATTGAGGATGATGGAATGAAGTTGGTAGATTTTTTTCCTCATTCATTTTAATCATCCTAGTTATGTGATCTTACAATTTTTTTTTCTATTTTTTAGGAGTTTAATCTCATACTTCGTTGAGATTTCTGAAAGAGAACCCCCCTTCGNCATGCCTAACTTGGGCACTCTTGATTTAAGTGACAATCCTATTGAGGATGATGGAATCAAGTTGGTAGATTTTTTTCCTCATTCATTTTAATCATCCTAGTTATGTGATCTTACAAATTTTTTTTCTATTTTTTAGGAGTTTAATCTCATACTTCGTTGAGATTTCTGAAAGAGAACCCCCCTTCACTGAGTTGAAGTTGGAAAACTGTGAGCTTACTTGCAAGGGAGTGAGTCAACTTTTGGGAGTCCTTTCGCAATTAAAGAAACCATTGAATGCCCTTTCAATTGGCGATAATGACCTTGGCATGTTAGTCTGGTTCGGAAGTTATGTTTTGTTGCTTAAGTTATGTCTTTGTTATGTATGGTCTTGATTCAGGTGTTCTCCAGTAAAGTGGGGGCACCACTGGGAAAATACTTGTGCACAGGCATTCGATCCCTCAATATTGAGGATATTGGACTTTGTTCATCTGGCTTTCTGGAAGCACAAGAAGAATTGATGGAAGAGTTGAAGCTTGTCTACATCAATATAAGGTTCTACTGGTAGCTATATTTTCTTAGAATTTTTATTGTATCTTATTCCTAAGTTAACACATTGACCAATCTTGTCCAGCAAAAACCGAGGTGGGATTGAAACTGCCAAATTTCTGTCAAAGCTCATTTCACAATCTCCAAGACTTGTTGCAGTCAATGCAGGATATAATTTTATGCCTGTGGAATCCTTGTCAGCAATATGCTCTGGCCTGAAAGTTGCAAAAGGTACATAAATCTGGTGTGGAGTTTTTAATTCTATATATACTTACAATGTTTGACAAATCAAATTTTGGGAACTAGTGGTTTTCAGATAGCTGACATTGACATTGTACAGTAAGTAGTAGTAATGTATAGGTTGTTTGGTGGAGGTAAAATGTGCTCAGGGATAAACTACCTTTCATAGGAGCAAAGACAGATGGTAAGGAATGGCTGAAAATGGCCTCTTGTGAGATGTCCATATAACTACTAAAACTTCCCAACAGTTTGAATAAACAACATTTATGAAGACTCCTCTCATGGCTCAAACTACTAAAGCTGACTTAACTATACTTATGTCAAGCCTTCAAAGTGTAGTTTTTGGTGGGGCCCACTGGTTTATAATCTTATTATTGTTCTTAATACATGCTATTTTGTGCTCTTTACGAATGTATGGAAGCATGTTTCATTTTAGGAAGTCTATGACGTGTATACATCTTATTATGCATGTGAAGTGTTCTTGGGATTTTTGAACACCAATTATATCACTCCATTTTTGTTTCTACCATCATTGGGAGGCGCGGATCTGTGTTTTAATATGGCAGTTACATAACTCAAACATTATTTTCTCAAAAACCAATATATGGCTGTGGATACTGTGAAGTAGACTGAATCCTTTATGTACCATATGGAAGAAACAAGTATATTAGGGTTGACTGAAGTTCAGAATGCTAGGAATACTACAGTTCTCAGATCACCTTCTAAATGTATTGCGGTTTTGGAGATTTGACTTTATTGTGCTTGCTATCAGGGAAATTGGAGCATCTAGACTTGACAGGAAATAGTTTCTGTGATCAATCTGCAGAAGCTTCTGTGCTGGCTGGATTTCAAATTCATGGAAAACCTATCATTGTGCTTTCATCATTGCCTGCCTCAAATCAACCTTATGATGATGATCCTTAGGTCCTGCATCTGTCAGATGTTTACTCAGGCACTAGCCTTTTCCTGACGGAAAATAGCACACTAACACCCCTCTTTAGTAATCAATTTCACTGAGGATGCCCCTGTTGTTTCTTAAATAAAAGCATACTCCTGTTAGAGTTTGTCTCGTAACAGATGTAAACTTCTTATTGCATCCATACAGTCTTTGTATCTAAACATCCCATTTTCATTTGAACTTTGTTAAAGCCGCTGCTACGTACTTTTCTTCTTCTCCAGCTCTCTTAACATTCAGTGCGTGCACACACACATAGACCCACACAGTGGCCAAATTCATCATCTTCAAGGCTGTGATCATTGCCAACCAACTTTGATTTTTTTTTTTTTGGGGGGGGGGGTGTAACACCAAGTCTTGAGGGGATGGAGCTCCATTCCCCCTAATCTGACCCACCACCTTTCAATCACCTCTTCCACATCCTCCATTCTGTGATTAATTTGAGTTTTGGATTCTTGAGACGATGAATTGTGGAAGATGAATTGCTGGATGGAAGGGAACCGTGCACTGATTTGTTTGGTGTAACTAAAGTGATGAATCAGGCTGGATGAGTAAGGTGGTGGTTTGTTGCTGTAAAGTTGGGTGGTGGCGGTGGTGCTATAATTGGTGGAGGGACGTTATTTGGTGATCTTTTATTTTATGAAATGGGCGGTCAATGTATGAGAACTTTGCTGGGGTTTGGGTCTGATATAGTAAGCTTTACCCTGCATTTGGATAGATTGTTTTGTGACTCGAATCTTTGACACTTAAGTAGAGTAACTTACTAGCGGTAACCTGCACTTGAAAGCATAGTACAACGTAAGTGAGAAGTAATAGATTTGGAGGGGGGGGGGAATTCAATGTGAATGATTTTGGAAGGGATGTTGGTAGCTATTGGATTAGTCTATTTGAGACCGTCGAATGGGTTTATTGAAGTCTACTATGTTTTATATTATAGATTACCAAGACAAAGCTCATCCTTTGTATTTAATAAAAGTCATTCATGTGTGTCGATTTCCTTGTGCTTGACTTAATAATTGGGATGTTGGTTCTGCCGTACTTATAATACATTCTTCATTATATGCTAATTTCAGTATATTAGTTCATAGTGAAGTTCGGTTGGAGGGACAATCTAACATACACAATATGTGGTCCTTATACACACCTTTAGCAGTTCCCTCCAAAACCCTTGTCTTCTGCCTACCAATGAGAAAGAGAGCTTGTTGGACGGATAGAGTGAATGCGGGACTGACATATAGGAATTGATTACTGATTCGAAAAAAGGTAAGAAACCAAGCCTAGAGAGCCTATGGTTAATATAACAAGTACTTACTATCTTTTCTAAACCCTTTTTCCTATCGACTTTAACTTTTCTTTCTAGAGACAATGATTATTCTCAAGAACCAAAAATATGAGCTAAGGGAAGCTCTATGAGTCACTAAAATGACAACAGGAATGGCCCTTGATCTATCTAGAGAGGGAGCAACAAAGGGGCTTTGCTCTCCTTTACAATATGAAGAAAGAAATAAGGGTCAAAGTTTAGACCGTTTGCAATATTTCTACCTATAGAAAGGATCATGGAAGAGGCGATCAAAATGATACTTGAAACCATTTATGATCATGAGTTTTTGGACACATCACAANAAATATGAGCTAAGGGAAGCTCTATGAGTCACTAAAATGACAACAGGAATGGCCCTTGATCTATCTAGAGAGGGAGCAACAAAGGGGCTTTGCTCTCCTTTACAATATGAAGAAAGAAATAAGGGTCAAAGTTTAGACCGTTTGCAATATTTCTACCTATAGAAAGGATCATGGAAGAGGCGATCAAAATGATACTTGAAACCATTTATGATCCTGAGTTTTTAGACACATCACACTTCCAGTCGGGTCAAGGCTGCCACTGGGACATAAGATGGATCAAAGAAGAGTGGGCAACCTTTTGTTTTTTTAATTTTATGATACAAAAAACATTTTCCTTATGTGCGGTTAGGTACTTGTATGGGTTAAAACGGGCATATTTAAGAAAATAGGTGATGTTTGGCATATTTTGTTGGTCTTCCTAATAGTTGACTAGAAGCCAACCACAATGGGTGTAGTGTCCTTTTCTTTAACCAACATACTGGTTAAATTTTGTAGCCAAATGATACAACAAATCCATACACCAAATTGATATTTTTAGATATTTTATTGGGCTCCCTTGTTTATTGGATTTGACTGTGCCACATCGTTTGATTCTCTAAATTTGATCAGATTAGCAAAGCCCTTTCTTCAAGTAGAATTCTACCTCTATGATCATATTATTAAAAGCTTAAGGTAAGAACGAGTTTTGCTCTAGTGCTCGAAAATAATATTCCCAAATAGAGAGAATGAGAGATCTTGGTCACTAGAAGTGTTAGGTTAGTATTTAAGTTTCATGTGACAAAGTTCTTAAGATTTATGGCCATATCATAAGACACTTCTGATGGTCCNCTTCCAGTCGGGTCAAGGCTGCCACTGGGACATAAGATGGATCAAAGAAGAGTGGGCAACCTTTTGTTTTTTTAATTTTATGATACAAAAAACATTTTCCTTATGTGCGGTTAGGTACTTGTATGGGTTAAAACGGGCATATATAAGAAAATAGGTGATGTTTGGCATATTTTGTTGGTCTTCCTAATAGTTGACTAGAAGCCAACCACAATGGGTGTAGTGTCCTTTTCTTTAACCAAAATACTGGTTAAATTTTGTAGCCAAATGATACAACAAATCCATACACCAAATTGATATTTTTAGATATGTTATTGGGCTCCCTTGTTTATTGGATTTGACTGTGCCACATCGTTTGATTCTCCAAATTTGATCAGATTAGCAAAGCCCTTTCTTCAAGTAGAATTCTACCTCTATGATCATATTATTAAAAGCTTAAGGTAAGAATGAGTTTTGCTCTAGTGCTCGAAAATAATATTCCCAAGTAGAGAGAATGAGAGATCTTGGTCACTAGAAGTGTTAGGTTAGTATTTAAGTTTCATGTGACAAAGTTCTTAAGATTTATCGCCATATCATAAGACACTTCTGATGGTTCCTATTCCCTGTAGGACCCTATTCTCTTTATGGTTGGGTGAAATCTAGATACGCTCTTTCGGACTAAAAGCAATTGGATTTATCATGACCACCCAGTCATAGGTGGATGGTTACAAGCTTTTGCTGGTGTCAAGTACTATTGAGGGTTGAACAGTGCTATGTGCAAAGCATTTTACCAAATGAGTTGTCCGATGTCACACCAAAAGAGCATTTTGACAATCAGTTCATGGGGGATCTATTTGGTAGAAATGCTTTTGGTCAGTTAACCTTGTGGTATGCATAGCATTGCTCTCGAGGGTTTTTTGTGGCATCAGTGTTCTCTTACCTTTTGAATTAAATAAAGTTCTTTGCTGGCTGTCTTCTAGTTAGTTATGACGCAAGCGTTATCAGATGTCCATGGCGAGAAAGACCACCAAGAAGGAGCTGGAGGTAAGGCTGGTATCGGGCTTTCTCGTGTCGGCGTATAAGTTAACTAAGTCATGTCCAATTAAAATTTTTCAATGCCTTACTCGTTATTGAGCGAGTCTAGCAGGTTATCCCAGTTGATTTTGCATTGGATTGATGGGTCGTGTTGAGAATTGCTAACCCTAACTGGGAGGGGTAGATTTTGAAGAAGTTCATTCATATACCCCTTGAAATCTTGTATATCAGAAAAATAGAAACCTCATCACAGGCCTCACAGCCATAAGGTTTGTAGTTCCAACCTGTCTCACTGGTGTTACTGACTGCTACTTTTTGATAATGAGATATTTGTTTTTTATACCCCATGCATTGTCATTTGATGCCTTGGCTCTTTCCCAACAACCCTAGTTAGCCAGCCTGTAAAGGCCCACATTACTTAATTCATTACTTTACCTTGTATTAAATTCTATACTCTAAAATCTCAATAATATAGGGACCAAACGAACTCAGATGTCATGAGTTTAAAACTTAGCAACTTCATGGGGTCTGATTATAAGAGATTTATCCTTTATGAATAGTAAGGTGTGGATAATCTGCTTTTGACTGAATCAGATAAGAGATTAGTCAAGGTGCGTGTAAATTGACTCGAATACTCTTGACCGTTGAACTAGTAAATAAATTTTATACTCTGGAATCCCACATGACGAAGGACTAAGTAGAAACGGATAGGTTGTAGTTGTTTGTTTTTTTTTTCCTTGTTTTACTTGAGCTATGTCCAATAGGAGTTGGTGGCTTGGCATTATCATTTAGTTGTTATGTTTCTTCTTGTACCAATCAATCCCTCTCTGGAAATTAAGCCTTTGCGAACTTAATTAACAACCATAGTACTATGTATTCAAAGACACGTAACTAACCACTTGTTGTTTTGGTGAAACTTATCATCAGTGGTGTCCCCCCTCCCAAACAAATTTAGTGCATGTCACTCTAACTATTTTGATTACTATCACTGTCCTGAAATTGAGAAGTTATCTTTGCTTTCTGGTTTATTGTACATGCCTTTTATCTCCTCAACAGTACTGTCTATGCCTTCTCCCCTTAATACAAGCATGTATAAGTACATACAACTCCAANTGTCACACCAAAAGAGCATTTTGACAATCAGTTCATGGGGGATCTATTTGGTAGAAATGCTTTTGGTCAGTTAACCTTGTGGTATGCATAGCATTGCTCTCGAGGGTTTTTTGTGGCATCAGTGTTCTCTTACCTTTTGAATTAAATAAAGTTCTTTGCTGGCTGTCTTCTAGTTAGTTATGACGCAAGCGTTATCAGATGTCCATGGCGAGAAAGACCACCAAGAAGGAGCTGGAGGTAAGGCTGGTATCGGGCTTTCTCGTGTCGGCGTATAAGTTAACTAAGTCATGCCCAATTAAAATTTTTCAATGCCTTACTCGTTATTGAGCGAGTCTAGCAGGTTATCCCAGTTGATTTTGCATTGGATTGATGGGTCGTGTTGAGAATTGCTAACCCTAACTGGGAGGGGTAGATTTTGAAGAAGTTCATTCATATACCCCTTGAAATCTTGTATATCAGAAAAATAGAAACCTCATCACAGGCCTCACAGCCATAAGGTTTGTAGTTCCAACCTGTCTCACTGGTGTTACTGACTGCTACTTTTTGATAATGAGATATTTGTTTTTTATACCCCATGCATTGTCATTTGATGCCTTGGCTCTTTCCCAACAACCCTAGTTAGCCAGCCTGTAAAGGCCCACATTACTTAATTCATTACTTTACCTTGTATTAAATTCTATACTCTAAAATCTCAATAATATAGGGACCAAACGAACTCAGATGTCATGAGTTTAAAACTTAGCAACTTCATGGGGTCTGATTATAAGAGATTTATCCTTTATGAATAGTAAGGTGTTGATGATCTGTNTAGCAACTTCATGGGGTCTGATTATAAGAGATTTATCCTTTATGAATAGTAAGGTGTGGATAATCTGCTTTTGACTGAATCAGATAAGAGATTAGTCAAGGTGCGTGTAAATTGACTCGAATACTCTTGACCGTTGAACTAGTAAATAAATTTTATACTCTGGAATCCCACATGACGAAGGACTAAGTAGAAACGGATAGGTTGTAGTTGTTTGTTTTTTTTTTCCTTGTTTTACTTGAGCTATGTCCAATAGGAGTTGGTGGCTTGGCATTATCATTTAGTTGTTATGTTTCTTCTTGTACCAATCAATCCCTCTCTGGAAATTAAGCCTTTGCGAACTTAATTAACAACCATAGTACTATGTATTCAAAGACACGTAACTAACCACTTGTTGTTTTGGTGAAACTTATCATCAGTGGTGTCCCCCCTCCCAAACAAATTTAGTGCATGTCACTCTAACTATTTTGATTACTATCACTGTCCTGAAATTGAGAAGTTATCTTTGCTTTCTGGTTTATTGTACATGCCTTTTATCTCCTCAACAATACTGTCTATGCCTTCTCCCCTTAATACAAGCATGTATAAGTACATACAACTCNATAATGAAAAAAATTAAAAAATTATCATTGTGTATCTAGATACAATATATTTCAACCTAATAGTATTTATTTACAATATATTTTTTTCAATATATTTTTTCACAAATAAATAATTTATAAAGTATCTACTCACAAATTTTCGTAAAATTTTGATATTATAATCGGATTCATTGAAGTATATAGGCTTTGGGCCCTCAGAGGGCGTTTAAAGACTAAAGAGCCCGTAGTGGTTGGTGCCGTGGAATGTTCACAGGGTGGGGTGCATGGTTGGTGGTTTGCAGTTGATCTCTCTCTCTCTCTCTAACAGTTGATTTGGTGCTGTGGGTGTGTTTAATGGCTTGGTCCCGATCTATGAAGCACGGATATTACGTTGAGGTCGGGATATCTATATCGGATATGATACTCGAGGATATGTATTTGATACACCTCTTATGTATCAAATAATAATTAAATATTAGGATATTTTACGGATACTTTTGTGTTCAAGCAATAGATATAATTTATGAGTTGAATTTTTAATATTTCCTTTCGAATTCACATATCATACAATACATTTATAAAAATGCATACTACTTTAAAGGCACATGAGTATTTTTTAAGTATTATCTATAATTACATGTCAACAGAGTATAACATAAATTTATTACATTATAGTCTTAGCAAAAATTACTTTTAAATAAATTGATTCGGTAAATATTAGTTTTAATTCCTTTAATTAATCATTTCACTTTGTGAATATACTATAGTGATACGATATATATTTTTTCAAACTAAAAAGAATTACTAATTTTCCTCATTATGTTAAAAAATTACCAAAATATATAAGTATTATGTTGATTGAAAATAATAAAAATATTTTATTATAGTCGTATCTTGACCGTACATGTATCATTTTTTTTAGATTTTATCGTATTATCATATCTGTATCGTATTATACCAGTATTCATATCCATGCTTCATATGTTCAAGTGATAATGGTGGGTTTTCCCATGTGTTGTGCTGGAGGTGGTAGGTAGAGTGGTGATCATGGGATTTAGGGGTATTTTTTTTTTTTTATAATAAATAAAAAGACAACAATATTTAATCTTACGATCTTAAAGTTTACTAATAAGAGCGGTGGTCGTTAGACTGATCATTAGCTTTGGACAATATTTAAGTTGGTGACTTAAATGGATGCTAGGTCAATAGTTGGGTATGTCGGCTCAACTGAGATAAAATTTAATTAAAAAAAAGAAAATTGAGAATAATAATAAAATTTAGGTGCTGTTACGTCACGCTGAAGTCACGACTCAAATCGTACCACCATATNTGATTTGGAGATAGATCAGCCAAACTAGTTCGTCAAGCATAGAACAAAGAGAAAACTCTTGCAAATATGGATTGTGGTGGGCTCACGGAGAAGGTGCTGAGAGATAAGATTTTAGTTTTTTATTTCTCCAAATGTTGAAGTAGAAAATTAAATGTTGAAATTGAAAATTAGACGTTAATGTATAACACTAGTCATTGAAATAGAAGAAGATGAAATACTCTATAACTTGTGGGTGAAAAACAGCAGACGTCGAACTAGAAGACGATCACCTAACGTTGAAGTATAAGAATCCATTGAAGAAGACGAGCACTAATGTTGGTTAGACGTCATTGATGGTAAAAAAGAATATGTTTAAAATTTAAAAAATAAAAGATCTTTTAAAAAACAAACCTGCTGAATTAATAAAACTAAATCTCATAAAAAAATTAACTGTCAAACTACAAAGTCCATGAATTATGAAAAATAATATCAATAAAGAAAAAAATTAAAAAATTATCATTTTGTATCTAGATACAATATATTTCAACCTAATAGTATTTATTTACAATATATTTTTTTCAATATATTTTTTCACAAATAAATAATTTATAAAGTATCTACTCACAAATTTTCGTAAAATTTTGATATTATAATCGGATTCATTGAAGTATGTAGGCTTTGGGCCCTCAGAGGGCGTTTAAAGACTAAAGAGCCCGTAGTGGTTGGTGCCGTGGAATGTTCACAGGGTGGGGTGCATGGTTTGTGGTTTGCAGTTGATCTCTCTCTCTCTCTCTCTCTAACAGTTGATTTGGTGCTGTGGGTGTGTTTAATGGCTCGGTCCCGATCTATGAAGCACGGATATTATGTTGAGGTCGGGATATTTATATCGGATATGATACTCGAAGATATGTATTGGATACACCTCTTATGTATCAAATAATAATTAAATATTAGGATATTTTACGGATACTTTTGTGTTCAAGCAATAAATATAATTTATGAGTTGAATTTTTAATATTTCCTTTCGAATTCACATACCATACAATACATTTATAAAAATGCATACTACTTTAAAGGCACATGAGTATTTTTGAAGTATTATCTATAATTACATGTCAACAGAGCATAACATAAATTTATTACATTATAGTCTTAGCAAAAATTACTTTTAAATAAATTGATTCGGTAAATATTAGTTTTAATTCCTTTAATTAATTATTTCACTTTGTGAATATACTATAGTGATACGATATATATTTTTTTCAAACTAAAAAGAATTACTAATTTTTCTCATTGTGTTAAAAAATTACCAAAATATATAAGTATTATGTTGATTGAAAATAATAAAAATATTTTATTATAATCGTATTTTGACCGTACATGTATCCTTTTTTTTTAAATTTTATCGTATTATCATATCTGTATCGTATTATACCAGTATTCATATCCGTGCTTCATGTGTTCAAGTGATAATGGTGGGTTTTCCCATGTGTTGTGCTGGAGGTGGTAGGTAGAGTGGTGATCATGGGATTTAGGGGTATTTTTTTTTTTTTTAATAATAAATAAAAGGACAACAATATTTAATCTTACGATCTTAAAGTTTACTAATAAGAGCGGTGGTTGTTAGGCTGATCATTAGCTTTGGACAATATTTAAGTTGGTGACTTAGATGGATGATAGGTCAATAGTTGGGTATGTCGGCTCAATTGAGATAAAATTTAATTAAAAAAAAGAAAATTGAAAATAATGATAAAATTTAGGTGCTGTTACGTCACGCTGAAGTCACGACTCAAATCGTACCACCATACAGTCGAACACAATGGCACAGGCTGTAAATTAGGGTGAATTGTATTTTATATTCCAAAAAATTTAAGAATTTTCACCACATATCCTTAAAAATTATTTTTTTTATATTATATTATTAATATATTAAAAATATTATAATATAGTCATTTATTAGTTTCTGTTGTTTATTCTGTCAATTTCAGCTTTTGATTTTTGATAAATTAGAGAATAAAAACTAACTAAAAAGGTCACGAGAATGTAATATAAAAATTTTAATTTTTAAAGGTATAAAATATATTTTTTTAAAAAAATAAAAAAATATTTTGGATTCAAAGTGAAATATTTTGGAATTTAAAATTTTTATTTTATATTCTTAAAAATTAATTTTTTTTTCTTCTAATATGATATTTCTGTAAATTTTTTGTTTTGTCAAAAATTTACTCAGACCGAAAATAAACTAACAAAAGAATTATATTATAATATTTTTGATATATTAAAAGTGTAATATAAAAAATTTAATTTTTAAGGGTATAAAATAAAATCTTAAAATGTTTCATATGCAAAGTTAATTTGCCCAATTAAGTAAAACAATTATTCTCAAAAAAAAAAAAAAGTAAAACAATTGGAAAATTTCGAAATACTGTAACCCCACAAGGCCTCCCCATCGTGAAGTCCAGCAAGAAAACTCTCTCTCTCTCTCTGTGTTCTATGCCAGACCGCCACCAATTAAACTACATTCCCACCAAATCCGCGCACGCAGATCTGAACCCCACTCCGCCATATCCCCGCTCGCTGAAAACCCTGATTCCATTATGGAGGAGGCGTTGGAGTTGGCACGTGCTAAGGACACGAAGGAGAGAATGGCGGGTGTGGAGAGACTCCACCAACTTCTAGAAGCTTCTAGAAAGAATCTGTCGTCGTCGGAAGTGACTTCGCTCGTCGATGTGTGCTTGGATCTCTTGAAAGACAACAACTTTAGGGTTTCTCAGGGGGCACTCCTAGCTCTCGCCTCCGCTGCTGTTCTTTCCGGTGATCACTTGAAACTTCACTTCAATGCCGTAGTTCCGGCAATCGTTGAAAGATTGGGCGATGGTAAACAGCCAGTTCGCGATGCCTCTCGGCGGCTCTTGCTCACTCTCATGGAGGTACACACGCTCACTTTGTCTCTTTATACGTGTTTTCTTGTTGGTCTTTGGATTTGTTTTTGAATCTCCAATTCTAATTGAATTCACGAGGCAAACTATACTGAGATTGTTAGCATGGACTCTCCTTACCTTCAACCTCTCTGAGGACCTATTCATACTTAAGTTTCTAGAAAGTAGAAACTTACGAATTGAGTGTCGGTTATGGGACCAAGGCTTACATGTATGAAATCTAAGATTCACGACCTGCGATGCAGTTGGAAACGAAATGGGATTCTATTTGCTACCAGGTATCATTAATTTTAGATTTTGTGGGGGTTAATACATAGGTGGATCAGTGATACAGTTGCCTCTTTACCAATTTGGTAGTGTCCATCGCTATTTCACTTTTTGAAAGACTAGGATTATTCGATGAGTTAAAACTGGGATGGCACTGCTATATCTCATGCCTTGATTTAAGGGCTGGGCCAATACTTGGATGGAGGGGGCTGTTGATTTGATAGCTGTGCTGCTTGTATTGGGCTGCCTTTTTTATCTTTTTGGTTCTCAAGTTCCCTCCTTCCCTTTTTATAATGCCAAACACAACCACAAGACTGAATAAGCCACTGACTGCAGAATTGCATATTCGTAGACTGATGATATATTCGTTGAAGCTTCAGCGGCAGCATCCCATATAAGGCCACTTTCTATTTCTTGTTCAGTTCTGTTTAATCTCATTGTTGAAGCCACATTCAATTCTAATTTTTGTCTTTAGATGCATCTTATTGCCCTTGTGCAGGTGGTACCCTGCTTTAGTTCATTGGGTCAGTGAGTTCCTAGGTTGTGTTTAATTCAACACAAATTAGGATCCCCTAGTCTCTTGGGTTTTATTTGCTACAGTTCCAGTAATAATTGTGTTGTGCAGATTTCTTCACCAACCCTAATCGTGGAAAGAGCAGGGTCTTATGCCTGGACACACAAAAGCTGGCGAGTTCGCGAAGAGTTTGCACGGACTGTCACATCGGCTATTGGTCTTTTTGCATCTACAGAGCTCCCTCTTCAACGTGCTATTCTGCCTCCTGTATGTTAAGTACAATGTTATTATATGTAGAACTAATGTTTCTTTTCTATACATATTTTTCTCTGTTACTTTGGGAAATAGCCATTGGTAAACTTAATAATTTCCTTGCCTTCTCAGATTTTGCAGATGTTAAACGACTCAAATCCTGGTGTTAGGGATGGAGCTATATCGTGCATTGAGGTCTGTAAACCCATGAAGTATGGTAGCTGTCCTGATTTTATTCAAATTTTCTTTTCTATGCCATCTGGGAATTCAAGATCTACTTTCATCTCTTACAAAATATATTTATGTACTTGACACGTTATATGCTCCCTGACAATCAGTGCTCTACAAGCTTGTGCTCATTTTACTGAGGTTTAATGATGTAAGCTATTGTTTTGGCTTGAGAGCAAAATAGAGGTACTCTTGATGAGTTTGTGCTTCTCATTCTTAAGGTTGTTATATTGATTTCCAAAAACCCACAGTTGTCTCACAGGCATTTTGGCCTGAAGACAGCTCAAAAGAGGTGCCTAAGACTCGCATCAAATATTAGATTCCAGATTACCAGCACTGCTGCCAATCCAAGGCTGAATTTCACTTTACATAGACACTTCGACGGTTCATTCCATAAAAGATTCTGTGCAGAAGACCTAGTGCAGCTTTGACAATTAGTATTAGTCTTTTAACCTGTCATCTTCCTAGTTTCTTCTACTATAATTGAGATGAAAATTGAAATACTTTCCATAATCAATACATGCTTCTTCAATGGTGTATATATTGAAAGGAATTTAGTGTGCTCCTTTACCTCTGTAGGCCATTCCTTGAATTTGGCAGAAATGCTGTTAGAGGAAATGAATATGAGCTATGAATCTTGTTGCACATTTGGAATTGGTTTTATTGTATGATTTAAGATCAAATACAAGTTTTTTCATGAGGTGAAATTGATATGATTGTGATTATTTTTTTCATAAAAACATAAAGATTATATGGCATATCTTTCTTTTATGTAATACTAGAGCTAACTTTATCAATTAAGTTTGGATCTGGTTCAGGTTTTTGGGTGCTTTGTAAACTTCTTGCTTTTATTAGGTACTGAATTTATGTAGGATCTGAGTATTTTGATCAATCTAGAAAGGTGTATGCATTTTAGGTTTAGTCAAACTTGGAGACCAAGTTGTATATCATTGCCTATTTTCATGTGTGCCATCATAGAGAAGAGGGGTGAAGATCCCCTCCCTATCTCATGGCAATCTTTAGGGGGGAATAATGTTCCCCGCGCGGCATAGCCCGTATGGGAATACTTCTATAGATAAATATCTATCACGTCTACAAATTTAGAACCCACAGCCTGTCCCATCTAAGTTATGTCCCATCTAAGTTATATGACTGGTTGTGTGAGCCTTTGCTTCCCAGCTCGTAAGCTACTGATGGGGAAGGGTAGATAGGAAAAGAAATATGCTACCTATCACACATTAATCAATAAAAATACCCAGGGTAAGGTTTAGGGTGATAAGAGAATCATCTACGAAAAAAAAAAGAAGAAATACCTTGAAGGGAAGTCACTAAATAAGGATCCCATCAAATGTAAAATCCCTTTAAAGAGTGGGGGAAGGATCTCATAGAATGAAAATCCAATCTTTCATATTAGAGATGCCATCATACGTATGAGAAGGATTCTATCGAACAATGATCCTATCGAACGCTTTCCAGCATTAATAAGGATGCCATCAATGTATGTTCCCATATAAGTTGCTATGTGAGATAGAAAACCAATGATGACAAAAAATGAAATGAAAATCATGATCTTAAAGAATGCTAGTCGTCTTCAGGATAAATTGAATCATTTATTAATTTACGTAGTCCCCAAAGTTCACAATCTAATTTCACTTTCTATGTTTCATATTTCACCATCAGATTCAGATTCAGATGCTGATTTAGCAACTGGTAATATTTCGAATTCAGAAAACTATCCTTCTAGTGATAAAATCAATTGCTCTAGTGCTTTGGATAAAGCTAGTATCAAAAAGATCAAATTAGAAGCCTTCTGGTGTTCTTTCCAACCATATTTATTTCAAAATTTGGATTATAAAAAGGATGAGAAAAAGGATTCTCATAATGTCTTATATTATAAATTTGTGTTTTAGCTATTGAGGGATTTTGCCAAAGATCATAATTACAATCCAGATAACTATAATATAGAGAAATTAAAGGATTTACAAGAACGTATTGAAAATTAAACTTCTTAATTTGAGCAAACAAATGTATTTGCTGAAGCTCCTAAATTAGTGAAATTATTAATTTCGGAAGGTACCATAAATGCAAAGGATTATCTTAAGAGCAAGAAGTTATCTGACGGGGATTTATATATTATTAATCTTTTTGATATGTATACACGGGAGACTATAATAATATATGTATTAGGATCTGTGTTTAACTGTAGTCAGTTTTTAACTGCTGTTAAGCTATCAACTGTGATGGATCAGCTTGATTCTCATGTGAGATCTCAAGCTAACAAACTTATGTTTGATAGTAAAATAAAGAACTTTTTTATAGATAGAAAAATGAAAACTCAAAAAGTGAATAGGAGTCAACATAATTACTCAATGGGTAAATATTGAATAGAGTTTAGGTATGAAAAAGAATTAATTGATGTGTCATTAACACTAGAGATAACAGATGAACCTACTATTCCATCATCTTCATCTAAAATGNTTACTCAATGGGTAAATATTGAATAGAGTTTAGGTATGAAAAAGAATTAATTGATGTATCATTAACACTAGAGATAACAGATGAACCTACTATTCCATCATCTTCATCTAAAATGCGTTTTTTTAATAAAAGGGGTTGTTATGTTGTTTGTAATTTTGATTTATCACTCCTTCCAGTGAAATTCAAACTTCCTATGATTTATCCTCCTGTAGAGTGGTCCTCTATTTATAGAGATAAAGAGCCATCTACGTTGTCTGAAATAAAGGGGGGTTATCTAGCCTCAAGTAATACTGATATCAATAATACATTTCATTTACTAACTTCTCGTAATCTTAACAATTTTTATATCGAGTTGAAATCTCCATGGGACTTGTGCAATATTTTGAATAAACTTCAAAAACAAGTCTTTGGAACAAACAAAAAATTCTTTCAATTTATAAATTCAAATCGACCAACATTAGAGAAAGTGGGCCTTCTTTTAGAAGAAAGATTATCAAATGTGAATATCAAATTAGCATGTGATATATTGAGAGAATACTACAATAATAGTAATGAAGATGTGAAGTCCTTTTTTCGTTTAAACTTTTTGTTAAGTGAATTCCTTAAGAATTCAGAAAGCTAGGTATGAAGTATTCGTAATTGATTTCACATTTGAATGGGTTGAAAAAAATTATGTTTGTTTCTATCTCCTTCTTGTTCATTTGTAACCCATAGCTGTGGTCGTTAAGCTTTTCTTTTTTGGTAGCCTGTTTGAGGGAAAGTTTGAATCTATCTGCATAACCATATTATAAAAAGCTTTGCCTTTTCCTAATGTCCAACCACATCCATCAGCCCACGTAGCTTTGGATTCAACTTATGAGCTACATTAATTCTGCATCCTTCATAATATTGTTTTCCAAACTTGGTCTTTGGATGTTTTTTGAATTGTTGATGGTATACAATTTTTTTTTTTTGAATAGAACCATGTTCATTTCCAGGAAACTTGATGATGCAATCAATGTATCCATGGAAATGTTCTAATATAACCTTCAACTTTTTTTCTATTTTTTTTTTTTTGGGTTTAGTTGGCCATATATTTTATTGTAGTTTGCTTTGGATTTTACATGCCATAGCCTTCTTCTAGTGGTGCACCCGGTTAACAAGCTTACCTCCATTCTTAAAGCTATTCTTAAAGGGAGGCCTCTTTAGGGTTTGGCCTGAATTGTGTTATTTAAAACATCTAGGGTATATTTGGTAACGTTTTCATTTTTTTGTTTTTTTATAAAAAAAAATTAGTTTTTGTATTTCTGTGATAAAAATTAAAAAATATAAAACATATTTGGTAGTTATTTATATTTAAAAAATTATGAAAAAAAATAAAAAGCATGTTAGGTATTTTACCCAAAACCCACCACCTAACACCACCTAAACCCACCACTAACAACCACTCAACTCTACCGAAAATTCATCGCCAAACCCCTTACAATCCACTACCCACCACCCCTAAAAACCCACTCCCAGAAACCCATCACCCACCATCCCCAGGCCCCTGAAACACACTCTAACCACCCCCGAAATGTCCCCCCAAACCCCCCAACACCCCCTGATACCCACCACCCAACACCCCCGAAAACCAACCCCCAACCCCCCTACAAATCCACCACCAAAACCCACTGTTAATAACCACCCAAAATCCACCACCGTAACATCCCCACCCCCAACACCCCCCATGAAACCCACCCCCCAACACCATGAACAAACATCGCCCAACATTCTCAAAAATCAACTCGCAAACCTCCTTAAAATCCACCACCCAACTCCAATCTCCCTTAAAATTCACCATCCAACCCACTGCTAACAACCATCCAAACATGGTTCAAGGAATCGACCGAGTCGTATTCGTCTCGGCCATTACCGATACGATATCGATACCCGTTACAGAAATATAACAAAACAGAATTGACTCGGGCTTGACTTGGTTATGACTTGGAAATATCAGCTCAACTTGGAGTCGAATCGTTAGACTTGGATTGATTAGGACTAAGTAAATCCGAGTTGGGATTGGATCTGTGAAATCCCAAACAAGCAGCAAAATTCATAAAAAAAAAAAATAGAAAAAGAAGTAGGTAGAAGAAAAGGAACGAGGCCCATTGATTTGTAACTAAACAAGTCAAATGACAAAGGAATAGAGAATATATAAAGAAAAAATTAGAGACCCATAGGTATAGAAACTAATACTCCGTTTGGTAGGAAAAATGGAAAGTAGAAAGGATAAAAAATAGGAGGGATACACTTTCTATTCTTTAAGGAAGAAAATTAGGAGTGATACACTTTTCTTGCTTTGTGTTTGGTTGGATGGATGAAAAATAAAAATGACTAATTTTTTTTTTTTTTTTTTGTCTTAGCTAAGATTAGGGGTGACAATCGAGTCGTATCGTGTCAGATTCGTGTTTAGTCATTACAGGTTTGTGTTGAATATTAGTCACACTTAACTCAATTCATTTAATTAATTGTGTCGTGTTGAGTTGCGAGTTGACCTGTTTATTTTCGTGTCGTGTTCGTGTTTGTATTTGTGTTGACCCCACATAAACTTTGAATAAAAAATTTAACGCTAATATTCTATTTTCACTTAATTGAATCAATGATAATATTTTTTCTACAAACTAAAAATTAACTTAAATAAATATAATAATAATAAGTAAAAATATCTTTTTTATATAATAATTATGTCAATACTTAGTAAATAGTTACAAATAATTAACATTTTATGTTTATAATACTAGTTAAATATGTTAGTTTTGTGTTACCATATAAATAAGAAAATAAAGAAAATATTTATTTTTAAATAAACGGGTTGATGGTGTCAATTTTGAGTTTAATTGATTGAACTGAATATGAGCTTTTTATATTTCTTGTTCGTGTGTCAGTTCATTTTCAAGTTCGTGTCGAGTTATAATCAATTTCGTCTCATAAA